ATCTGCACCCCCACCGGCCGGGTCCGTGTTCTCCCTCACCAGCTGCAAGAGACAGAGCAGTGGACACAGGCCCTGGACTCTGCTCCTGGGAGGCCGAGGAGACCCCGAGAACCCCACCAGGTGCCCGGCCGCGTGCATCTGTCCCCACTGCTCAGCCCCGAGTGTTCAAACGACGCTCTGAACCCAGCCCAGCTGTCGTCACCACCTCTGTCTCTCTCTCTCCCCGAATCTTAGGTCAGAGGCCCATGGACAGGCCCCGTGAAGCCACAGACCGAATTCCTACGTGTCACCCCAGGGCCTGACATGCTAGGCGCGTGGTAGTAGGTGACTCACATTTGGCTCATTGAGTGGCAGCCACGTAGGAGACAACATCCGACTCAGGGCCTGCGGCCAGTCCCGGGGCGTCCACGGAGCCGAGCCCCCGGCCACGGGTCCAGAACCAGCTGCCCACGCTAGCTTCCGGCCCCGGGCACGGACAGCACCCAGGGGCAGGCCCACAGACGTCCCCCGGGCTTTAAACTGTAATGTCACTTCAGGGGCAAACCTTTTACCACAAACGCGTGTGAAGCTGTCAAACTCCCATCAGCGACACGCACTGACGGAGAAGGTGACTGATCAGAGGGCACAAAGTTTGGGTCAAGCAAAATGACGAAATTCTGGACTCTGCTGCACAAACATCGTGCCGTGGTTAACAGTACTCTGTTGTACATTCAAAAGTTTGTCCTTGGGGCGCCTGGGTGGCGCAGTCGGTTAAGCGTCCGACTTCAGCCAGGTCACGATCTCGCGGTCCGTGAGTTCGAGCCCCGCGTCGGGCTCTGGGCTGATGGCTCGGAGCCTGGAGCCTGTTTCCGATTCTGTGTCTCCCTCTCTCTCTGCCCCTCCCCCGTTCATGCTCTGTCTCTCTCTGTCCCAAAAATAAATAAACATTGGAAATAAAAAAAAATTTTTAAAAAAAAAAAGTTTGTCCAAGGGGCGCCTGGGTGGCCCAGTCGGTTAAGCGTCCGACTTCAGCTCAGGTCGTGATCTCATGCTTCGTGGGTTCGAGCCCCACATCGGGCTCTGTGCTGACACCTCGGAGCCTGGCACCTACTTTGGATTCTATGTCTCCCTCTCTCTCTGCACCTCCCCCTGCTTGTGCTCTCTCTCTGTC